TATCCCAGAAATTCAAACAGAAATTATTTAATCAGTTCAATGGAATTTTTATTTGGCAAATAAAGCTTTAACCTTTGAACAGACAAACATCTCATAAATTACAAGTGATTTATATACATTGTTAAGCATATTTGTTAGTTGTAATGCTTTTATCCAGCAACATGATTGTGCTCTCCTCCACCAAATATCTCCTGTAAGATTCTCAAAACATTACTTTTCCTTATGTTGCCTGGCTTTTTTAATTATTTTTCTTCTAATATTAATCAAGTAATCTAAAACTAAGGAACAAAATTGGCACATTTCAATATTTGATTTCCAAGAAAAAAATACTTTGAAATAAGAATATCTACATTGAGAGAAGTTTTCATGATGACTAGTTAATTTTAGTATCCTAACAATTTTGCTGGTCTGCTCCCTAGCCTTCCTCAGATGAATATTCTAGCTAGTAAATTCCATATAAATTGGCCATTCTTAAACTGTATTAAGAAACCTAATATATCTAGTAACTGCCTGACAGGCTTCTTTTTTTCTTTTTTTTTTTTTTTTTATTTTACATGTAACATTTTGTATTAAATTTACTTGATGAAGGAAGTTTTATTTTTAAAGAGTTTGCATCCACTGAATGTAGTTTCTTTTTTTTGAATATTTGAGGCTACGACAAATGCACACAGGAAATCTGCAACCAAGCTCTACAGTCTAAATTAAAGTGTATTAAAAGTAGAGATTGGTTTATTCAATAAAATGGTATATAGCAAAGTAAAAAGATTATGTATAGACCAACATTTTTGCCTGGGGACCAGTGCAACATCTGTGCCTTCCTCTGCCCTGGGATCAGTGTAATATCTGAGTTGATTAAACATTAGATTATGTCACGTAGTATCCCCCATTTTATGGAGACCTTTCAGTTAGCCTGATTAATATTTATGAGCATTTTTTAAATTTAAAAAAAAAAAAAAAAAAAAAAAAAAAATTTTTTTTTTTTTTTTTTAATTATTTATAAATATTTGTTGCAAAATAAAATCCTCACGTTTGCCTTAATAAGGTCTGTCAGAGGACGAAACACCTCAGCTAAGTTATCCTTTTATCTTTTTTCAATACCCGAGCTGTCTGCAGGAAATGTTACACAGGAAATGCATAATTATGTATTCCAAATTTTTTTTTCTGTCAGTACTTTTTTTTCTCCCAACACTACGGTTATCTCCCTTGCACTAGCGACACTGGGTGACAATTCTTTTATTATGAAAATAGCATGTTTAGTGCTGATTACAAAGATGAAAAGACTAATTTTGTAAAAGAACAGATGCACTAATAATTGTAAAAATGAAATTGCTTATTTTTTTCAAGGTGTTGTAAACTGTGTATTTCTATATGCAGATTTATTTGATAATCTTTTGTTTTTTTTAAGAAGTGTTCACTGACCTGTTGGGCTCCAGAGAATGCGTGATAGTAAGAAGACACATAAGCCATGACAGATCGTTCATCAGGCTTCACAGAGTTAACCATGTCTGATGGAGGAAAAGAGTAAAAAAGCAGTATGAAAATGGGGAAAACAAAACAAATAACAAAAAAAAAAGAAAAAAAGCATTACAGACAATTGAAAATGTATAATGCAATCTACAAAGTGACAAATTCATTACTACTTGAAAATTTATATCATGCATATTTTGATAACACTAAACACTTCAAATACCAGTGTATCGATCAATTATAAATTTGATAAAGATCAGAAAACTGAACATAGAATAGGATGCACTAGGGGTAGTTTCATCCAACACATGTTGCTACAAAAATCAAAACATTAACCTAAAAACTTAAAAGTCATGTTCTTAAATAGCTTCAAGTTGAGACTTTCATATAAATGTTATGCATGACACCAAACTTGTTCATAAATATTTAAACTCTCAGCTGTATTCAACCACAATCTTAGATCAATGGTTGAAGATGGCTTTGAGCAAATGAAGCCTGTAGGTATTAGTGAAGACCATCCTTTTTTGAACCTCCTGGACTAATGCTACAGTATCACAAAAAAACAAACAAATAACAAAGCCATACCACTAGAAGACATTTAACAATAGCATCAACTAAAATGGATAGTATATATAAAACAAAGAATGACAACAATCAAGATGTTGACATTTCACACAACTTCAAATAAAAAAAAAAAATAAAATAAAAATAATCAATACTGCAAAGAATGGTAACATTTACTGCACTTGAAAAACTTATTTTTAAAAAAAAAAAAAAATTTAATAGAAAAATTTTTTATAAATTTCAAATGCCAACAGCACTGACTACTTGGTCAATGAATGTTGAATGTTTCCTTATAAGGAAACAATATTACCATCTTTCAACTCTGCAGCTTCTTTCCCCACAGGTGAAATGTCACAAGCCTATTGCTATTCTAGTGCTATTTGCATGCAAATGTTCAGATGAGCGCACCATTCTTTTAGTTTCACCAGTTCATGCCACATTCATGGAGTCAACCCACACCACTTATTTCTTCTGTTTTGCGAAGCATTTTCCTAAGAACTGCTACTTTATGTCACAAACTCCCACATGGATACTTCCCAGAACAGTACAATCCTTGTTATCCTTTAATATTCACTTCTTACCACCTCATCTTTCATTATCAAACACTTCATTCATCATTACCATTTTAACAGTAACCCTCTACCTTTAGTGGCTCTCGGGCCTCGGAGTGAGAGAGAAATTATGTGTGCAGGCATTATGCGTATGAAAAACACACTACATCCAATTATACAGCCAGGGATTCAAAATTAAAACAAAATACAAAGGTATATCTATGCAGGGGTGTGCTTTTAGGTTATGTCTCAAAAGCTAACAAATACTCTAAAACTATTTTGACCAATAGTAATAATTGGGTTCAAATGCTAAGTTCTGTGCTGTATTCTTTTATTATCAGCAGACAAGCTAATCAATTTTTCTATATTTTAAGACAGCTAACATGAATATCTTTCTTTTATAATACTTTCATGAAACAATTTTGGAGGAATAGTGACTATTTTTTTCTATTTGTATCCTATTTCAATTATTTACATCCTAATTTCAAATAATTTAGACAGAAATTAATTCTTACTCTATTAGAAGCACTTTACCATTGTTTCTGTCCAACTGACAGACACCTGACTCATAAAGCATATTGCACATTATCCTATTAAAAAAAGACTATAAGCACTGAATTAGTCAACACATTGTATTACTTTCATTGTTCTAGCATCAGCTTGAAATGATTACAACATTCTTTTAAATACTTCCAGTCAGATTTTCAACATAATGAGAAACCATTTCATACAAAAAAAAAAAAAAAAACGTATAATTCTTCTAAAACAATACAATTCTGGCACTGCCTGTAGACCTAGAACAGGAGTTGAAAATTGAGTTTATTTATTAACAATTACACAGAAAAGCCAAGTAGAAGTAAGTGATGGTGGTATGGACAATCTAGCCAGATTACAAATTAGAAAACACAAAACAGCAAATATAAAAATATTTTCACGAAGATAACAAATGACCCAAGTTGGATTTGCATGAAACATTGCAAACCTGAAAATGACCCTCCACCTTGAAAGAATTGAGAATATGTTAACTATTTGCTAATTAAAGACATCAACAAAATAATAACTTAAGATCTATCTGTTTGATCACTTTTTGTTTCTGTGTGGTTCCTTGTCCTAAAAATAGTTTCATCTATTTAAATGCATACATTGTATATCAATAATGCTCAGGTAAGAACCTGACATGAAACCCAGAAGTTCATTTTAAAACAGAACTGGTTGAACAGTCCAGTTATCATCAGGTGAGTATTTTTGAATTCCCGACAAAAATCTATGCAGTACATATGCACTTTTTTTTTTAAATCTTAAAGCCAAAAGAAAAATAGTATGTCAGCAACTTGTTGAATATAATTAATGTTCGATGTTATTTGTTAAAATGATGCTAAGAGTTCAAAAGATATTTCACCAGAATCTTGCAGAAATGCTTTAAACAATCATAAGACTGGTTTTAGAATAGCGAAATAAGCCAAAAGAGCAAACTGATAAAAAAATGTGACCAAATTAATACTGATATGAACCTCAATCAAAATCATATTTGATCTCAATCAGTTCAACCCATAGAATTAATTTACATAACAATGGAATCTAATCAGTGTAATATTAGTAAACTGGTCAAAGCATATATTCTAATTTTAGAAGCTGTAAAATGGCTTCAAACATAGTATTCAGTATACTACTGGTCTGTACCATAAGGAAGAGGATATACCAAATTGCTGCCCTTTTTGTATATTTGTGATTAACATTAGTTTTACTGGGACATTATGGGAAATGTGCATCAGTATAGCCTCAAAAGAGGGCCCCAGATCACATGTGAATGTGTTTGTTAACACCAGTTACATCTGGGTTTTCCCCTGTTAGCAGAAGGACAACTTGGCATGTCTAAATACAAGCCTATCTGCAGTTGGTCAAGATCCAAGTCTTTGTAAAATGTCTCATGTTAATATAAGCAACAGGAAAACCAGCAGTCAGCACTTGACAAGGTATGATTTCTTGTGAAGTCAGTCCTATGGCCATTTTGTTCCTAAAGTTGCTGTGGTTTCTGAGGCAGTGTCTCTTTCCCCTCTGCCTATTAGTCACCCGCCACATAGTTGCTGGGAGACTAATTGGTTAGGCATTTCCACCAATCTCAACACACCCTTGCCATATATTATAACAGACATAAACATTATAAACTAAAAGAGAGGCAATAGCCAAGTAGATTAAACTGTTGCTTTATGAATTTGTGAATTCAGTCCCTGGGACAGGTAGTACAGACTTGGCAAGCAACAACTGACCAGTACTAAATAACAAAACAACATATCGCGATATGGACAGCAGACTGAGAAAAATCTATCCCTATACATTAAAAAGCGGATTCAATTCTAAATTTCCTGAAGGCTATCCAGATAAAATGGCACCTGAAGAAGGCCAAAGTAAATAATAGCCAAAACGTTGTAGTAATAAAACAAAGGCAAGAACATTAGTCCGAATGTAAATAATGATAGTGCCTCATCCCAGAAATTACTGAAGAGGAAACTTTTATATAAATCCTTCCAACTAAAAAAGATACACACTAAATTTAGTATTAGTGTGAGTATTGACACTAACCAGATTATTTTCAGATCATATTATTTATAATTATGACTTTCCTTTCTACTGTATTGTTTTTCAAGTTTCCTTAACACACCTGTTACCATAACAGGACATGACAACACAACCATAAAACTTAAATACACCATTATTTATCAGTTGGTGTCTGCTTAAGTAGCAGACTAAACTATTTGTTCCAAGAATAAAGTCACTCACTGAGTAATAAATAGGAAGATATCATCTGAGTAGCATAAAGCTATTTTCCTGCTGTAAATTTCATACTCAGCATGTTTGTATGAATTTCAGTTTCTTCTTATACTTTTAATTTAGAAAGTGAGGAATGCAAGAATGATACATATGCATAAATTACTTTTGCCACAATAGCTTCTCCAGTTAAAAAAAAAAAAAAAAAAAAAATATAGAAAAAAAATATCACTATGTACCAGCTGCTGACAATGGCCAAATATGCAAGCTCTTCTTACTAAAAAAAAGTCTCTTATAGTATTCTGGATTTCAAGTAACAAACTGCTATTAAATAAACTGCGTGTAAAAATGCTCAAAATGTTATTTGAAGCCACTGCAATGAGCAAACTTCAACAACAGAAAGGCTGTTTTTTTTTTTTGGTCCAAACATTGAATAAAGCAGTCATTTCAATTTATCAGTAGAGGGACGTGTAAATTGAAAAAGACAATCCAGGTGTGTAAATCAAAACAATACATTCAACCCAAGCTGCTTGTAGAGGACAGATTAGTAATCTAGTGAAAGATTAAAGTATTATTATTACTTCTACTACTACTACAACTTATGGTTGATAATTTCTCTGCTATTTAAATGAGTGATCATGCAGGCCACATCTTGCTTTCTTTTTGAGGGGGGGTGTATAGGCAGAATAGGTTGGCTACTCAGCTTAATACAGAAATGATAATCTATCTTTTGGACCTAATGACATTTATGAAACTTTAATGGTAAACAGGAGGAGGAGGTGGAGCAAATTGAATATTAACAGATTTAAACTGCATTCTGAAAACTAAGTGCACACTGTTCTGATTATATGGTAAAAAGAGAGATGATGAAACAAGTGTGTTTGTGCATATATATATATATATATATATATATATATATACACACACACACAAAACTGTGCACATATGAACTTCTGCTAAACACACACGTTTTATATATATATATATATATATATATATATATAAATTGTGCACACATGAACATACAGAGATATGAAATTTTGTATGGTGTTATGACTCCTTTGTTAGATTCTTACACAGACTACCTAAGAATCATATCCCGCTACTGGGAAGTAAGGAGAGCAGCTTCCATGATAGGCAACTTCAGCACACATGAGAGTAGATGTTGAGCATTTCTACTGCTAAAAAGATTACCACCACAATGTATATATTAAGACAAAAACATCCCTCGTAATGTTTAATACTTTAGCTGAAAGCTCTCAGACTGAAAGAACATCTGAACAGTTCTTAAACACTATATTTAAAAAAGAAATAGTGTGTATGTAAGAAAAATAAAAAAATTTAATCACAATGCTTTTCAGTCACCTTCAATGAAACACACACACGATAAAATATAGTTTTAAGGTGTGCTATATTTATGGGTTAAAGTGCTAAATATCAGGGATAGAGTGTATGTAAATATAAAATTGGACATTGAAGTCACCACCCAATGGCAACAGCCTGTTTCAAGCTAAATGCAATCATCAGGTGATTGTGGTTAGCCTGAGACAGACTGTTGCCGCTAGGTGTTGAGTTCAATTACCACTTTTTATATATATATATATATATATATATATATATAAAGAGCTTCTTTCAGCAAACCACTGCTGTGGAAAAGACTTAGTCTTAACCTGTTCAAGTCTAGAGTTAACTGTAATTTTCCCATCATATCCATATAAACTGCTCCTTAATGTACCCACCCCTTTCTAGCTTGGATGGCCCCCGGGCCATGTACAGGGTAAACCTTACTGTAAAATATATATATTTTCTACATTTTTTTTTTTCACAGATCCAATATTTATGAATTTAACTTACCCCTTCCAAATGCACACACACATTATATATATATATATATATATATATATATATATATATCTTATATATACACACACAAAACCAAATATGCATGAGATATACTTTAATGAAACATTTTTCAAAACATCCTGCAGTGTCTCAATAACCTTTACACACTTTAGCATCCAGAATGTTTTCTGACACTTATTTGAATATTATCTGTTACTTCATTACATGTGGTAGGCATCTAACCAATAAGAAATAGTCAAACACAAAATCTGCATCTTTGCTTTTTATCATTTCTCTCTTTATCTCTGATGAAGCTTTAATAAAATGAAACATGTTAGATTAAGATCTGTTTCGTACTTGTTCTTTATCCTATTATATATATATATATATATATATATATATATATATATGATTGTGAGAAACAGTTTATAAATGTTTGCTATCAAGTTATCTATACCTACTTATATACATAAAATAAATGAATATAAACTGATGTGCGCCTTACTTAGTCTTCTCTCTCTTCCCATCCCTCTAGAATCATGCATTTGATTATGAGTGTGAATAACTTGAAAGAATTACGGGTAAGAGCAAATGTACCCCCCACCCCGACTCCACAAGGAAAGGAGAAAAAAAAAAAAAAATACAGAAAGTGGTAGCAACTCAAGATGGAAATATTAATTTCTGTTGGTAAGTATAAAAGAAAAAAAAAAACGGAAGCAGACTAAGTAACAACTGTTGGCTAAGCAAGAAGGATAGAGAAGATATTGAGCCAGACTGGTGAAGCAGGGAAAAAGAAAGTTTCCAAAAATAAAAGAGCCAGGAGTAAAGGGCTGGGGGGTGATAACAGCATCATGAAAGTTGCCATAGCAACTAGAGAAATAGGAAGTTTATGAAAGAGACAGCTGGGCAAGGTAGTGGTGGAAGGTGCTAATAACATTTACTTCCTATTTTAAACTTGTCAACACATGGTCGCTCACTGATTTTGGTCATGGTGCTCTGGGTAAGAGCTTTATATGTCGGCCTCGCACTATTCAACACAGTTTTCTCTCTCTCAGTTGATGTGAATATTCCCACCCAAGAGTTGAAGACGGTATATAAAGTATCAGTTATACAGACAGACATTTAGGAAGGAAACACACACACACACACGTGTGTGTGTGTGTGTGTGTGCGTGTAGGTGGAATGTAGTTAGGTTATTCTGACACAAAATTTAACCACAAATGGTTTATGGGAGAAGTGTAAAAATTAAAAAATAGCGGAAGTCTATGTTTTAAAAAAAAAAAAAAAAAAAAATATATATATATATATATATATATATATATATCTTTGATCCTTCAGAAGTGGAGTCGCCAGCTGTTCCAAGGGAGAGAAGTGCTACAAAAAAAAAATTTAAAAGAAGAGGCAGGGTGGGAAGGGAAAATTTTTTTTCTTTCTTTCAATGGGAAAGAAAAACTTTGACATAGTAACATTTTAATGGGTCTTGGATCATTGCAATCATAAAATAATCCTAATTCTTTCAGGTTAAATTATTCAACACTGAATTTTATTTTATATTTTTTAATAAACTAATAATCATTAACAAGAACAAACTTAAAAAAATGTTCCCACACTAGCTTAGAAAATATTGAAGAGGAAAACATCTACCCCCCCCCCAAAAAAAAACACTAATTCAAAATAAAATTACAAAACCACGATTTTAGAAAGTTGATTATTTAAAAGGTGTAGAAAATGAAGGCAAAGAGGCCAAGATAAACTTTCCTTATCAGCCTGATTGACCTTTGATGTTGTGGTCAATCAACTCTTTATGAACCTTTACAGTAAGATGATTCACAACTAACAAGGTTGAATTTACTTAATTTGTTAAAAGCTGAAACTAAGGAGATAGAAGTATTATCTTAGTGTAAGAGATGGCCAATGCAGAGAAAAATCCTTTTCCCTGTATTCCTTTCATACTTAAGTGGTGTTGTCTATTTTTTTTTAGTCATAAATAAGGTCTTTTTTTTTTCCTCTTTTTTAAAAATTAATTCATCCCAGGAAAGGTGATAATGCCACTAAGACACAAGAAGGGGCTACTGGGAGTAAAAGCGAATGAGAAGACTTTAGAAGGAACTGGAAACCCAAACAGAAAACACTTTGGTCTTTTTAAGTCAATAAACATTAGGAACCAATCCCTTTGTTTAGCCCACAAGGGTAGATTGTTCTAATTCCACTTCCCATATCTTTTTTTGGATATCTCAGTTTCAGTTAAATCTCCAATTTTTTCCCCCTTCTGCTGTGGCCAGAACTTGAACTCACAACTCTGGTCAAGTCACTTTTTGGATTACTTAACCAAGGGATATTGAAAATATATAAACAGAGAATAAACTTGATTAACATTATTGTAAATAAAAAAAGAAAGAAAAGAAGTTGAACTGATTCTTACAATATATAAAAGGAAAAAGACAACCCTCAAAAAAACCACAACTCTTTCTCAATGTACACTTTTTTTAGTAACTTGTTTAATAGCCTAAAGCTAACTCAGGTGATGGCAATTGTAGCAGTGAAAATTGCTTTACTACAAAGAGGTTCATAAAATGATGGTCAAGAAATTTTTATATATATATATATATATATATATATATATATATATATATATATATATATATATATATATATATATATATATATATATATTTTTTAATTAAAAGTCAAATGAAATTTTTTTTTTTTTTAAAAAGTCTGTCATTGGTTAATAAAGAAAAAAGAATTATATCAATTAAAACATGCAGGTAAACTACAAAACAAATGCTCATTAACTACATGTGTCAGATTATAAATGCTTAAATTAACAGAAAAAGTTGTAGTTTGCCAATTCAGGCTTCCTTCTCAATCAGTGAAAGCAGTGACTCAGACAAACACTTATAGCAACACATTAGTGAATTCTTTCACCTACACTTTCAAAAAGTTTTAAATTGCAAAGATCCTTTTCCTCCCACTCAACACCACAGTGAGGAGAGTTGTGTAAAAGTAAGTAATGTTACTCCCCCACTGTTGGTGATAATATCGTTACAACTAATAGTAAAGTATTACAGTGTGCAGCCATATATATATATATATGCATGCCCTAAGAAACATGGCTGTTGCTAGCTATGGTAACTTTCTGCGTAAAGAGAGATGAGATGCAACTCCACCTTTCTAACTTGGAGAAAGCCCAATGCCCATTTCTGGATATTTTCAATGTGTAGCAGCAGATGAAATATTGGTCAGGAGCTGGCCATCATGTTTCTATCAGGTTTTGACATGAGGAGAGTAAACAACATACGTAAGAATAAATGTACAAGTCCAGCTGATAAAAGGTAATCTATTAAGAATAGATGTTGAAGCCGTTTTTCAACACATATGTGTGCTGTTTAAGTGAGAAGCTATTTCATAATTAATATTTAAGCAAGGTAGCAGTTTATATTTATTTTTATGGAGAGAAGAAAACTAAAATATGCATAGAAATTTATTTTGAATCTGATATTTTTTATTGCTTTAAATATTTTAGTGGGGGTGTCTATTTCAATGTATAAGTCTATAAATTATTTTAAGTTTCAGATTTTATTCTTAATGCATGTGTATATATTTGTGTGTGAAAAAGACAATATTTATCTTCTAAAAAATATAATTATCTCACCACACTACAGCAGCTTCCCCTTTTCAGGCTTGTTTGGTCATTAATTATACCTAACTACTTATTCCAAAGTGTTGTGAGTTGTAATAATGAATAAACCAGCCTGAAGATCCAAAAAGGTAAAACTGCAGTAGTATAGGGAGTTTATTTTTTTATATATATTTATTTATTTATTTTAAGATGAATGTTCTTAGTATTGCTCTACAGCCTAGTTATTGAAATCAGCTAGGGCTGGTCAATTTCCGAGTAAACTTTATCTGATAATTTGTTTCAGAGAGGGAAGATTATATATATTTCTTTAAATGACCATTCATTCTTAACCAAAAAGTTGACTTGAAAACAAAGACAAATATCTAGGTAAGATAGATACCTTCAGCATCCAACATTCTTGGAATATCCAGGTATTTTTCAGCAACATCAAAGGCAGTGTTCAAGTTCTCCAGTGGATTGTCCTAGATAAGATTTTAAATCAGACACTCATTAGCAAACAACTTTTTAAAAGGTAAATATCCGATAAAAGAAAACATGGCAAGTATAAATTAATGACAATAATAATAAAAAAAAAAAAAAAAGCAAACAGTCAACTTTTTAAAACCCAAGAATTAAATAAAAACTTTAAATACTCCCATTTTTAGATTCAGAATTACATTTCTCACTTTCAATATATCATTTTTCATTCTGTGGCAACTATTTGCACTGTTAGATAAAAATCATTAAATTATTATTTACATTAAATTCTTTTCAAATGCTTGTGTCATTTTTATTTTTTTTTTTATAATCCAACAATTGTATCCCAGTAATTACTTTCACAAAAATCAAAAACCTAAAAGTCCAACAATGCAACTAAAAGAACCCATAGGTTACTTATTAATGTATTAAGTGTAGAACAAACTAGCTTTCGTTACTACTAGTTGTATGAAGCAAGATTTAAACTGGAACAAAGGCTTATTTATCACAGTTTTAAAGGTGGCTTTAAGTTAAAGAATATTATTTTTGAAAGAATCTTATGGTTATAATTAATAATTTTAATGGAGCATAAGGTCAGATGCAGGCAGTTTGAGATTATCTAGTATAATTATATTCTATTACATTTTGAAGATGGGTCATAAATGTATTTGTTGGATGATGCCAACTCTGACAAAATCATATGGTCAGGGCACCCTGCATCTGAGGATACTGACCTTACAAATCATTGACAGTGAATAACAAAGTTAACGTAATCCAACAATTTTCTGGCAAAACTATTTTTGGTCATTTATAGTGTCAAGTATCCTTTTCTTTGGGGAGTGAATTTAAACAAGTCTTCTGCATTCAGTAATGGACTAAACTGTTGGTAATCTTACAAAGTCTGTACAAATATATTTAAAGAAAGAAATAAAGAACATCATTTTTGAATAAAGTTTTTTTTTGTTGTTTAGTTTGAATCCAAATATGTTCATTACTCATTCTATTCATTCAAGAGTACAGGGTTAAAAAGGTAATGTATAATAGCAGACAAGATACGAGGTACAAGGAATGTCAAAGGAATCATTCACCTTGTCTCTAAGATTTTCAATACAAGAACAGAGAATTCTTGGCTATCAATAAAAAAACAATTTGGTTCCACCTTTTCTATATCTATTCCAAGATGACAATCATATTTACTTATCAGCAAACTGCATAATAAACATTACAGCATCTGGCAAGTTTGCATTTTAAAGATGTCTGAACCACTTTTCAGATAGAACTTCCAAAAGATTGGCTTACTTGAAAGTGCAATATGCAAAAACACCAAGACTTAATCCATAGTATGAATAAAAAATAATAAATCATGGAAAAAATATGATAAGAAATTACTTAAATTTTTTAACCTTTAATAATGTAAGTAGTCTTTTGTTCACTTAAAATCTAAGATTAATTTTTTTTCAATTAGGTAGCTTTCAAAATATTCAACTCAATAACTCAATATTTAATTTTTTCTTGGTTGAAATTGGGATTCTGAAATATGGATAAAAGGTGGGGGAGAGTGTGAGATAAAAAAAAAAAATCATTAGTAGAGCTCAATATATAAAATCTATATTTTCCTTTGTGTATAGATATCTTTTTGCTTTGACATGAATCAAACAGAAATTCACTCTACTTTTGTCTTTTTATGGCTTACCAACCCATTGCAGGTTATTTAAAGCCAGAAAATATTTTTTAGACTGTAAGAATTCTTTTTTTGGAGATAATGATTTAGTGAGAGTCTTACTAATTAACCCATAGCTGAGGGAGAAATGGATTCATATCTTTCTCAAAGATATCTGCATGTAAGTGAATATAACCTTCTTGGAATTGAAACTTGGCTCTCCGATTAACAATTCCAAGTCAATAACCACCTCTACATACAAGCTTACAGCATATGGTATTCCCCAAGTGGTCATCCATCTAGGTATTGACCTGGTTCAATGTTGCTTAACTTTGATGATTGTATGGGAACTGGTGTTTCAACGTGATATGGCCATAAGCTGGTTCATAATCAAGGTTATAAGTGAATCTAAATAATGCTATTATAGTTTTTTGGTGTGAGTTACATAAAGAGATCCAAAAACAATGTTAATTACTGCTTGTCCAGTTTTAAGTTAAATGGACAATTTGCAATGGAAAGTCTTATCATGATATCAGCAAGGTATAAACTTTTCACCAATGACCTTAAAAGAAAAAAAAGAAAAAGAAAAATGAGCTAATGAAGTATTAAGGTCAATTTTCAGATCACGTCAAAGATTGAAGCTTTTGCAGGTAAGCAGATTGGATAATGAAAATACAGGTAAATAACTTCAGATAAAATTATGACTGACACACATAATCTGAGTAAGAAGTGATCAGTAAATCCAATATTGAAAAAAGATTATAGAAATGTTGCCAAAGTTAAATTCAGCAGAAATGAGTTTAGTCTTAGATTTTACAAGCATATTAATGAAATGACTGCAATAGTTACAGAATGTAAAAAACTATTTTTTCACTCCTAATTAAAACCAATTATGTTAAAAACCATCTATATAGATATCCACATATAGACTAAGCCAATGCTTGCTCATAGGCTTGGGCTATTAAGTATACTTATGCTTATATAACTAAAATAAGGAAAAATCAAAAACTATATGCCAACCTCAAATTTTTGCTGAGCAATCTATATCATTTTGGGATAGATGGTTTGAACCGAAGTAACCCTGTACTATCTCCAGCCAGATTGCCACAATTGTCAAACTGTTGTCATCTCATTATGTGACATGAGAAAAACAATAGACAATTACTATACATATATGTAACAAATTATTTTTTTTTCTTAGGTGGGGTTACTCTTTTACCCAAGAGAGATTGAGATTAATAACTTAAATTACTAAATGAATTCTAACACTTTATAAATAGAAGAAAATGTTTTATTTTTAAATCAATAAAAATGAATAGGTATATGTATGTCTACCAATGTTCTTCAGAATGCCAAGATAATTTTAACTAAATCAAGGTTCACTATTTACATTATTCGGACTATTGTCCTCATCTTTGTTGCCATATTTATTACTTTTCGGCCTTCTTCAGGTGGTTGGAATGTCAAACTGAATCCTTTATTTTGCTCACTGAGGTAGAATGTTCTATTTCCATGTGCCGTGCCATGTTTAATGGATGTCAGTTATCTCCTGTTAATTCCCCTCTCCAAGTTCTCCACTGCCTTAATCGGATATTGAACTCACACTATTTGGGTCTTGTCACTGGATCTAACCAACGCCTTTATCCACTGTGCCATGTGTCCTTGAGGTCAGTCTACTCCAGTGAGCAAAAATAAAGGGTTCAGTTCGACATTCCAACCACCTGAAAAGGCCAGAGCATACAACAGCCGAAATGTTGTAATAAATATGGTGACGAAGATGAGGACAATAGTCCGAATAATATAAATAGTGTACATAATACTTCATCTCAGAAATATAGACAGATACTAAATCAAAGTTGGATTTAAAATGAATGACACTTGTTATTTTTACTGCTTAATAAGCAATAAATGACTTGTTAAGTTAGATTTTTATAGTTCATGGATTTAAGGGTTGAATCTGATTGGTACTCTTTTTTTTTTTTTTTTTTTTAAATACAAATTATAGTGACATTATAGAGAGAAGGATAAAAAATTATAAATTATGTGAATTAGAAATGATTTAGTTCAAATAAAGCTATTAGGATCACTAAAGTAGTTTTCAATGTGTGATGTAAGCAGCATTTTATAGGGTGAACATATTTTTCAAATGTTTATATAAAAATTTAAGATCCCCCAAAATATGCAGTAAATATTCATAGACAGAATAAATCCTCTTGCAAATAAAATAAAATTTCTGTAGGTTTTTAAAAAAAAATTTTTTAATAATCTTTTCATTTCTATTAAATTTTACAATACATGAGCAATAAATTATTTTTAAATTCCATGCCTAATAAAACAATGTGAACTGCATAATATTTACTCTTAATTTATAGTACATTGTCTTACATATTTACACCAGGAGAATATCAGTCTCCGAGTGTATTATCACTGTATAATAGAGGCAAGGGTTTTTTTTCAGTCTTTGTTGAATTAGAAAGATATTTGCAATTCTGTCTCCTTTTAAGTTAATTCTTCTACATCAAACATTAAAATCAATTTTATTAACAGAACTAAAAATCTTAATAGCTGAAGGAAAGACATTGCTTATTTGAATGCTGTTTGAATGACTGATTCGTTTTCTATGGATTATCAACCCTTTGCAGGTTATTTAAAGCCAGAATATTTTTAGATTGCAAAAATTTTTCTTTTAAGTAAAGACAATAAAGGTTTAATGCTGCTTTGATACAAATTAATCATAAATTAAATCTCCTTAATTGGTTCATAATCACTGATTTGCAGGTCATTTAAAAGGAAGAAAATATTTTTTAGATTGTAAGAATTCTTTTTTGAAAGAAAAAAAATTAAATTTTTTGATTTAGTGATGAAGTCCTAATTAACTCATAGCTGTCAGAGAAGAGGTGGATTCATACCTTTCCCAAGGGTATTTGCACATATGTGAATATAACCCAGCAGGAATTGGAATTTGGCTCTCTGATTAACAATTCTGAACCATTATCTGCTACACCATCTGCACATCCAAGCTTACAGCACTTGGTATTCCCCCAAGCGGTCACCAATCTAGATCTGACCAGGCTCAATGTTGCTTAACTTCAGGGAACCAGTGTTTCAAGATTATGTGGCCATAAGCCCTTAAATGCTAGTTGAATTTACACAAAACTGTTGTATCCTGGGTAAGACAATAAACTTACATCCAATAGTAAGGCCTCAGATCAGGAGGTTTTGAGAAGCATGAAACCACCTCTTAATTGCTGGTGTTACCAGTTCCACCCTAACCTGGGTGGTAGCACCTGTTAGGGTCCCAGCTATGGGCAAATAGTTGACACCCCACCCCGCATCCCACCAAAC